ATGAACTTATTTTGATAACTTTGTTGATTGTATTTTGAACGTTGATATGGAAAATATAAGTGTTTGTTACGTGAGCTGAAAATAACATTATTAATGATAAAAATTCAATATATATTTCCCTGTTTTTTGCTTTCATTAATTGTATTTTTATTTATAATTTAAACCGCATTTTATTCTCTATTATTACTTTGTTTGTTAGGAAAATCATATTTTTTTCAAAATTTTTATTTATAACTTATTGAAAATAAAAGGTATTTAAGACTACAATACCAGCCAATCAATCAATCACTCAAAAAGTGCCGTCAATTTTAAACAAATGATAAATTAGTTTTAGATTTAATTTTTGAGATCACAAAAAATCATAATCGTATGGAGAAAAACAGGAATTGATAAAAAAAATATATAAATACAAGTAATCATATTTATTTGTGAATTGAAATTACTGTACTATATTATTATATAAATAAATTATATTATTCATTAAATTGTGTATTATTTTTATTCAATAACTTTTATTCAATCGACGAACGAGTCTTTCAATTAAAAAACATATAGAAAATTATTCTCAAATGAAATCTATTAAATCATTTTACACACATATTTAAACGGGAACCAAAATTGCATCTATTTAAATACATAATGTAGGTTTTAAACCAATATGCGTTAATTTTAATTAAATTATACTCAAAATATTTTTTTAATTTGTATTTAAGGAGCATGTTTACTCAAAAATTCAGTTAAATTGCATATATTTATAACTTTATTTATTATTCAAATGAATGAATTAAGAATTTTATTTCCAGAAATAATTGTATTACAATAACAATAAGTTATTAACAACTTATTATCGATTTTAGATTATAAATATTTTTGAAGTTTTATTTGTGAGCAAATGTTTGCGATTAGACGACAGGACAGTACGAGAGTCCGGAGTGTTGTTCGGTCTTAAGTGGAGCCAAATTCCAATAACGGCAGCGAAGGATTCGGGCGCCGGCTTTGGGCTGTCTTTCCCGCGTGAATATACCCTTTCTGTTGCCCATCACTCGACTAATTGCTATTTCAATTGCATTCATAAATATTAAATCAATGTTACTTTAAATCATAACATATAAAAATATATGAATGAATGCATACACTGTTCAGTCATAAAATCAGCGAAATTCCAGATGTGTTCGCCAACGAAGAAACCCTCGGCTCTTAAGTTATCAAACGCTTTGTGATAAGCCATAAGAAACTCTGATTCGTAGTCT